CAAATACCAAATTAAACATAGGAAATCAGATATGCTCATAAAACCAGTTTATCAGATTTTTAACATGTCAATTTATTTTGCGACACAACCGCATCTTTCTTAATCTACACACACCTCGGTCATACAGGTTTTATTTCTCTTTTATAAGCTTTGGAGAGGCATATCGGTTTCGAACCAAGATGTCTGTGGCTATATGGGAATGTATATGGGAAACCATGATAAAATGCCCCGGTAACATACATTGTATTTACCTTTATACTTAGTATAGATATATATACAACTAAAACTTGTGATTGTCGTAACATTTAGTATTTGTAAAATTTTACAGCACTTTTAACTATATCATTTATTACCTCACAAAATGTTTTGAACTTTAAACATCCAAATTTCATTTTTCAATTAGGTCACTAAGACTTCGTTTTCTTATTCATAATCTGCTAAAATATATTACCGGTGAATTATACTACGATTTAAAATGGTTTCCCATGGCCATATCCCTCGCAATTTGATACCGATGTATCACCAAAACTAGTTAAAGAGATTAATAGAATCTTGCATCCCCTTGGGGGTGAGACAGGGTAATCTCAACCCGAGGGGTAAGATTCTTAAGTTGTCAAACACGAGGCTTGCCGAGTGATTGAAAGCTTAAGAATCTTACCCCGAGGGTTGAGATCACCCTGTCTCACTCCAAAGGGGGTGAATGATTATTTTTCTCTTACCCTGTTTACCCTTGTATTTTACATAGACGTTACATCAATGCAAGACAATGTTGATGTGATGCGGCTGAATTGTCGACATGCCGTCATTGTGTTGTTGCCGTGACGTCATGGTATTGTTGCTATGACGTCATACAAATCTCACACCGGTAAAATGGTGGATATTCCTGTCCAGGGTAAGAGAAAATAACCTCCACATGATCTAGGTGTGTAAATGAACTTAAGATAATATGTCATTTCACAGCATTCATTTGCGTCACAAATGAGACCAATATATTACCGGTGAACTAAAGACATCAGCCAAAGTGCCTTAGTATTGACTTTGCTAACGTCGTTATGTGTCATAACTGCAGTACGGACTAAAAAATAATCCCAATAACATTCTGAACTTTGACGTTTAAGTTTGGTTCTATAATATAATGATGTTTATTTTTTCAATTAACCTGATAGGTTATAAGTGTTTTTAAAAAAATACAAGGCGCCGGTCTGTCAAAACAACGTTCCATTGCGATGCTATACCTAGAGGTCAGTCTATTTGAGGACCATGTTCCATTACGATGTTATACCAAGAGGCCAGTCTATTTAATGAACCAAGTTCTATTGCGATGCTATACTTAGAGGTCGGTCTATTTGAGGACCATGTTCCATTACGATGCTATATCTAGAGGTCAGTCTATTTGAGGACCAAGTTCCATTGTGATGCTATATCAAGAGGTCAGTCTATTTGATGACCAAGTTTCATTATGATGTTATACTTAGAGGCCGGTCTATTTGAGGACCAAATTGCATTGTGATGCTAGAGGGTAGTCTATTTGAGGACCTAGTTCCATTGTGATGTTAGAGGCTAGTCTATATGAGGACCAAGTTCCATTGTGATGTTAGAGGCTGGTCTTTTTGAGGACCAAGTTCCATTGTGATGCTAGAGGCCGGTCTATTTGAGGACCAAGTTCCTTTGTGATGTTATACCTAGAGGTCAGTTTATTTGAGGACCAAGTTCCATTGTGATGTTATACCTAGAGGTCAGTCTATTTGAGGACCAAGTTCCATTGTGATGTTAGAGGCCAAACTATTTGAGGACCAAGTTCCATTGTGATGTTAGAGGCTAGTCTATTTGAGGACCAAGTTCCATTGTGATGTTATACCTAGAGGTCAGTCTATTTGAGGACCAAGTTCCATTGTTATGTTAGAGGCCGGTCTATTTGAGGACCAAGTTCCATTACGATGTTATACCTAGAGGTCAGTCTATTTGAGGACCAAGTTCCATTGTTATGTTAGAGGCCGGTCTATTTGAGGACCAAGTTCCATTGTGATGTTAGAGGCCAGACGATTTGAGGACCAAGTTCCATTGTGATGCTAGAGGCTGGGCTATTTGAGGACCAAGTTCCATTGTGATGCTAAAGGTCAGTCTATATGAGGACCAAGTTCCATTGTGATATTAGAGGCCAGACTATTTGAGGACTAAGTTTCATTGTGATGTTAGAGGCTAGTCTATTTGAGGACTAAGTTCCAGGGTGATGCTAGTAGTTACATTACAACAGCACTCAGCCCTTGGAAATATTTAAATTGTTCAAATTGTTAAAAAAAATCCAATGGACTGCCTTTTAAAGGGATTTTTGGGACAAAGTACTTTAATTCTCTGAAAGTTCATTCTTATAGACTCATAAAGTTCAATCACAGAACAGTCCAGTTTCTGATATTCCGTATCCAATGAGATTCCTACTGATAGTTCAAACTAAAATATTCAGGTTAGCTTTTTCCAGGCTTGCTTTAACAAGATAACATGCAAGCTTCATTGCATGATGTTTGAAGGGATATATATGATTTTTTGTGATTTCCCATTTGTACAGACATATTTCATCATAACCATTTATCATTTGTGTTCATTTAAACCAATCATCATTTGTATTCATTAAACCAATCATCATTTGTGTTCATTTAACCAATCATCATTTGTGTTTCGTTAAACCAATCATCATTTGTGTTCATTTAACCAAGCATCATTTGTGTTTCATTTAACCAATCATCATTTGTGTTCATTTAACCAATCATCATTTGTGTACATTTAACCAATCATCATTTGTGTTCAATTAACCAATCATCATTTGTGTTTCGTTAAACCAATCATCTTTTGTGTTCATTTAACCAAGCATCATTTGTGGTCATGTAACCAATCAGCATTTGTGTTTCATTTAACCAATCATAATTTGAGTTCATTTAACCAATCATCATTTGTGGTTCATTTAACCAATCATCATTTGTATTCATTGAACCAATCATCATTTGTGTTCATTTCACCAATCATCATTTGTGTTCATTTAACGAATCATTATTTGTGTTTCATTTAACCAATCATCATTTGTTTCATTTAACCAAACATCATTTGTGTTCATTTAACCAATCATTATTTGTGTTCATTTGACCAATCATCATTTGTGTTCATTTAACTAATCATCATTTGCGTTCATTTAACCAATCATCATTTGTGCTTCATTTAACCAATCATCATTTGTGGTTCATTTAACCAATCATCATTTGTTTCATTTAACCAATCATCATTTGTTTCATTTAACCAATCATCATTTGTTTCATTTAACCAATCATAATTTGAGTTCATTTAACCAATCATCATTTGTATTCATTAAACCAATCATCATTTTTGTTCATTTAACCAATCATCATTTCTGTTTCATTTAACCATTCATCATTTGTTTCATTTAACCAATCATCATTTGGGTTCATTTAGCCAATCATCATTTGTGTTCATTTAACGAATCATTATTTGTGTTTCATTTAACCAATCATCATTTGGGTTCATTTAGCCAATCATCATTTGTGTTCATTTAACGAATCATTATTTGTGTTTCATTTAACCAATCATCATTTGTTTCATTTAACCAAACATCACTTGTGTTCATTTAACCAATCATCATGTGTGTTCATTTAACCAATCATCATTTGTTTCATTTAACCAAACATCATTTGTGTTCATTTAACCAATCATTATTTTTGTTTATTTAACCAATCATCATTTGTGTTCCTTTAACCAATCATAATTTGTGTTCATTTCACCAATCATCATTTGTGTTTCGTTAAACCAAGCATCATTTGTGTTCATTTAACCAAGCATCATTTGTGTTTCGTTAAACCAATCATCTTTTGTGTTCATTTAACCAAGCATCATTTGTGTTTCGTTAAACCAATCATCTTTTGTGTTCATTTAACCAAGCATCATTTGTGGTCATGTAACCAATCAGCATTTGTGTTTCATTTAACCAATCATCATTTGGGTTCATTTAGCCAATCATCATTTGTGTTCATTTAACAAATCATCATTATCATTTGTGTTCATTTAACCAATCATTATTTTTGTTTATTTAACCAATCATCATTTGTGTTCCTTTAACCAATCATAATTTGTGTTCATTTCACCAATCATCATTTGTGTTTTATTTAACCAATCATCCAATCATCATTTGTGTTTCATTTATCCAATCATCATTTGTGTTCATTTAACGAATCATTATTTGTGTTTCATTTAACCAATCATCAGTTGTGTTCATTTAACCAAGCATCATTTGTGTTTCGTTAAACCAAGCATCATTTGTGTTCATTTAACCAAGCATCATTTGTGGTCATGTAACCAATCAGCATTTGTGTTTCATTTAACCAATCATCAGTTGTGTTCATTTAACCAAGCATCATTTGTGGTCATGTAACCAATCAGCATTTGTGTTTCATTTAACCAATCATCATTTGTTTCATTTAACCAATCATCATTTGGGTTCATTTAGCCAATCATCATTTGTGTTCATTTAACGAATCATTATTTGTGTTTCATTTAACCAATCATCATTTGTCTTCATTTAACCAATCATCATTTGTGCTTCATTTAACCAATCATCATTTGTGGTTCATTTAACCAATCATCATTTGTTTCATTTAACCAATCATCATTTGTGTTTCATTTAACCAATCATAATTTGTGTTCATTTAACCAATCATCATTTGTGTTTCATTTAACCAATCATCATTTGTGTTCATTTAACCAATCATCATTTGTGTTTCATTTTAACATTGATCACTTATTTTTCAATTTAACATTTATTATTTGTGTTTCATTTAATCATTTCTTATTATTCTGATTCACTGTCAGATTTCACCATCAAAGATTTCAAACTATGAGGCTTTCCCTTTTAAAATTTACCCTATCAACCTGATTCAAATACCAGTGCTCTGCTGTACTGTCATTATTTTCCGGGGTCCAAAACAAAACAGAAGGCAACATGTTAGTTCTATTTTTATTTTCACTACTCTAACAACGACAATAACAAGCTTATCGGTCTGCCAGGAGTTCAACTCACTGATACATCATATACACAAACGTGCCTAAACACTGTCCATATAGTGGGATAAAAATCATGATTCCATCATTATTTTGTTAATACAGCAAAGTCATTGTAGTGAGAAAAAGGACTGTTTTGAAAAAACGCACAAGTAAATACCATAAAAAATCTATCTCGTTTATATGAATCTTAAATTTGTATATTTACAAAAAAAAAAATTTCCTTGTGTCTCAATATAACATGGCCAAAACCTTAAGTATGAAAACTACAAGTAAATATTCAAAGTTGCAATGTTGTACATTATTACAATAATACAGTCTATTTAAACGGTATACATATTTATCTTATGTAATACAATCTGCGCTGTACCTTTGACAAAGAAACAGAAAACAGAACATAATTATTTCTTCTCTCTAAACTAATGTCGGATGATGATGATGGTGGTGATGATGGTGGTGATGATAAAAAATTCCTGTACTCAGATGAAAACTGAAGCAAAGTCTTGAACAGAAGTGAAATGTGGTCACTTTGTTTTTGCAATTTGTAATTTTAACCGATTAAAATTTTTAACTGATCTAAAAAAATTACAGAATATATATTTTAATCTAATTCATGTACCCAAAGATGGGTTGGTGGGGTGGGGAAGGCAGGGTTTAAAGTGTGGATTGACACAGCAGATATTCACCGGGTGATCAAATAACGATTTTTTTACATGCTTTTTATGGTTTTATTTTATTATATTTTATTTCTACACATTTTTTTTTTCAAATTTCAATAACAAGACATTTTTTAGACTAATACTGTAAAATCAACCTCAAATTTGTGAAATTACTTTTTCTTTGTTTTCATACCAGCTACATGTATTTAAAACCCCACTGGGCAAGGCATCTCCTTCCTTACCTTCACGAAAATGTGCACCCCTCGAAATATGTGTTGCCTTACAAAATGACCGCACAATAAAGTTTCATTTGGGAAATTTCTGGTCATGATTATTTTAAGCAACACAACGAATCAGTTTGTTTTTGATTTTCATATCCAAAAGAAAAGTTAAAACATCCTGATGAACGCTTAAATTAAGTGCAGATTATATGTTTTATCAGTTCAGAATTTTGTAAAATATTAACTAAAACGTTAAAGGTTGTGAAAAAAAATACAATGGTACCATTGTAAGCTATAAATGAACTTGCTCAAAACTTCAGCAATATATTTTTATACAATCTCATGTATATACGTTGTATGCTTTTTTTCCCCTTTTTTTTCTATTACTGTAGTATGTTTCAGATACTAGACATATATTCAGTACATAAATATATTTATGAAAAAAAAACCAATAAATGATATATACATAATGTAATGACAATAAAATACATATTGTAATCTCAAACCTGTCAACTCTAAAAAAGAGAAACTAAATTAAATACTAATTTATCGTCTAATGTCAAATGACTTCTCATTAATCAAGAAAATTCTTTATGCTAGCCGTTCTTACAGAAGCAGGAAATGTCCATACTAGCAAGGGTCCGTTGTACACAGATACCAATTGAAAGTGTTCAACTTTAGGTTGCTTTTTTTTCTTTCTTTTTTTGTGTGGTAAATTTCTTCTTTTTTCTCTCTCATTTTTGTTTGCTTGTTTTTCAATAATATCAGCTCAATCCACATACAAAGATGATCATATAAAAATCGCCCTATAACCATTATATAAAATGAGAGTAAAATAGTCTATACAAAATAGTATGTGATGCTGGTTTAAGAACAAATAAACCATTTAAGAATCCTAATGAAAGTTCAAAGGCACTGTCTGATAATGGGGATACTTGGCTGACAGAATTCCATCAGAAGTGTACACATGAAAAATTGGGATACTTGGCCGACAGAATTCCATCAGAAGTGTACACATGACAATAGTATAGTCAGTTACAACACTACCACTGATACAGTGGCCAACAGTACAGAATACAATGTCAAATAAAAACAGTAATCATGTCAATATCAAATACACAAAAAAACAAAATCAGGCAATGATAGAACAAAATGCAGGTCGACTGTAAAAATCCTCATCTCAAATCAAGCTCCTGTATTCAGTGAAACTCTCGTCTCAAATCAAGCTCCTGTTTTCAGTGAAACCCTCGTCTCAAATCAAGCTCCTGTATTCAGTGAAATCCTCATCTCAAATCAAGCTCCTGTATTCAGTGAAATCCTCATCTCAAATCAAGCTCCTGTATTCAGTGAAACCCTCATCTAGCTACTCTATATCTAGTCATAGCAGTCAGTCAAGTATCCATGGTAAACAAAAGAAGATTGAGAAAAAAACATAATACCATTCAAAAGCTGTAGGCTATTCACCATTAAAGAGCTCTTATGAAAAAATGTGTGCAAAAAAAATAAATATGTGCTCTTAATTTGTTGGTCAGTTTCAAATAATTTGCTGGGGATAAGCATCTCTTTCCAAGGCCTGTATTATAGCGTCGCCTTGAAGCAGACCGTCACAAGGGAAGGACGGTGCATTGACCTCACAGTCGTGTTGTGTTATCTTAGGTAGAAACACACTTTTTGTGAGGCCCCACTTCGAAGCATTTGGGGGTAACTGAAACAAAGCACGAAAAGCATAATTACCACATCTAATCTCTAAACCATGTGTGCATGGAAAATGGAAGCCATTTCTGTGACATTCACATTATATACATATTTTAAAAATAGATGAAAATGTGCGAAATATTTTTTCATTACTGACCCAAATAGACCATATGAATGACAAATGGAAAATGTACACAAAAATACACATATTGATAACGCCAAAGGATTTCTGTGAATCACTACATCGTGCAAACTAAACATTTTAAAGGTAATGAATAAGATAATGAATAAGGTTGCATATAATCTTAAATCTAGGCTGGAGGCAAAATAACGTCCCAGTTATTGTGTGTCATTAGTTGGTAACGGTAAGACTAGATATTATCCTGTACAACTTACCTGTTTAATGTTTGATGATGTATTTGCTGTCTTTTCATTTCGTGCATTAAAAACCTTATATCCGTAAGAGTGGTCTTCGCCGGTTAAAAGTAAGTTCATGAGAACACTGTCACTGCCCAATGGGCCTGTTGATGGCACAAAGAAGACAAATTTTATAATTTATAATTAATAAAAACAAAGTGAGTGGAGGCTCATATAGATTCGGGTAATAAGACTATAAGACTCTTTCATGCCCAGGATAGGGAAATTCCACCCGAGGGATTTCAAATTTGGTAAAACCTAAAGGCTTTGCCGAGGGTTTTGCCAAATTTGAAACCCCGAAGGTTTTGGCACTGGATCCGATCAAATAAATGTTGGTTTGATGCGTATTACTTAAATAGATATGTGGGCAAAAAAGTAATACTGCGATCTGCCTCTTTATCAAAACAGGAAGATGAAAATTTACATATCACAACATAAAACAGAGACAAACAGTCACCATGAAACAATAGTACAATACAAAATACGTAAACAGAAGTTACTTATATAAAATTTGCTGTTGTAATTGCATATCCCATCGGTTAGCTTGTAACCAAAGGCTTATTATAGAGGTGGTGGAGATACAAAAGACATAAATTTATCGTGATCATATCCCATACTTTTTGTAAGTATAGAAATGTTTAATTCTCTGAATTGACTGAGCAGACCATCTCTCCATGAACCTTACTTCAAAATTACTATATTAAACTCTCAATCAAATACGAAAACTTCTTTACATTCACGAACCTTAGAAACAAAACACACAATTACTATAACTTACTTACCTCGACTCAGTGATTTATGCCCTATATCAGGGCGAGACTTTTTGGCGATTGGTGGACCCTTCTCTTGATTGGTTTTATCCAGTGGCCGTTTCATCTGCATGATGCCGTTGTCGACAGGCCGTTTGAGTGTGGCAACAGTCGTACTCCCTTCTAACATGTCCCACAGACTTGGACGTCGCTTTTGTGGTGGTTCCTCTGGGAACAGCTTATCTTTCGAGGTGAAAACTGATTCAGTGCGGCCAAACAGTCTATAAACAGTACAACATTATACTATACATACAACGAATCCTCATTATTCTGACTCTAACATAAAAAAAAAAGAGCTGACTATGATTGGACACTGAATTCAGATAAACTAGTAATATAGAATTTAATATGTCAATATAAATATAGAAATGTTTTATTCTCTGAACTGACTGAGCAGACAACCATCTCTCCATGAACCTTACTTCAAAATTTCTATATCAAACTCTCAATCAAATACGGAAACTTCTTTACATTCACGAACCTTAGAAACAAAACACACAATTACTATAATGTATAATTACCTCTCTTCAAGAGAGATGGTTGTCTGCTCAGTCAGTATATATCAGATATCAGAGTTAATTAAAATATAAAGATGAGAACAGCTGAACAAAGTGTGTTATCTCATATAGTTTATGGCTATGCAGGTCATTTTTTAAATGATTTTCATGATTTTGATATAAGTTCAGTTATAAAAAAAATCTATTTATTTTTATGAAATTACATTTAATGCTTTGTCTTTAAAATATTACAATCAATTTACTATAAAGGGCTCTAAAAGATAACTGAATATATTATGTATTTCAAATAAGTACACATGCAGATTACAGACATTCAAGGAACCTGCTTACCTGTTTCAAACAAACAATACTAACTAATATTATTAAAAGTAAGCAAAATCTGTTGGTTTCCTGATAGTTTAAGGTTGGAAATTAGCAAACTGAATGAGCTCAAAAAAGTACGATCTCAGATTTCCAGAACCCTTACCCGGGATTAAAGTCTCCGCCGAGATTAAACAGCTCATCTGGTGCGGGGGGCAGCAGGCTGAAGTCATCACTCGAGTCCATCGGGATGTAGGGGGCTCTGGTGTCCATGTCTATTTCCTGTACACAAACGTTAATGTCTGGTAAACAATCATCAAGGGAGATTATTCAACAGTAAATACCCTTAAATATCAAGGTTTCTGGTACAAAAGCAGGGGGCAAATCTTTATAAATGTGCAAACCACTGTCCTGCGTAATTCTTAGGAGATGTTTCAACCATCTTCTTTCACAGTAAAACTTGCTTGATGGTGACACAATTCGGACTACTTGGACAATTTTGCATAGATAAGACCAAACTGATCAAAAACCACTGGCTCGATAGTGGGAAAACCAGATAAATGATGGCTGGATAAACAATATGGAGAAAGGGAAAACAAGATAAGTGGTGGATACATAAAGGTGACGGATACTGGGATGACTAAATAAAGTTATGGTTGCCTTAAAGAGGCACCACTCTACAGATGACTTTTGATGGGACCATTTTAGAACTTCTCCGAGATCTTGTTGATATAAAAGCAGCATAGCAAAATTTGTCGAAATCCATTCATTTTTATTCAAGTTATCGTGCTCACAAGATAAAAGTTAACGCACGACGCAGGACGACAGGTGTATATTTATGGCGATAGGTCACCATGACCTACGGTCAGGTGACCTTTAAACCAATGTAATAACAATGTCATCCTGTGATGACACCTGTGGGGATGATAGTTACCTCCCCTGCTAGGCAACTATCCGACATCTGCATCTGTGTCATGTCCATGGTGGTGAAGAATTGGTCCATAGCAACAATATCGGCCGGGTTTATCGTGATCAGGAAGTCGTCTGTGATCGGAGGAGCTGGGCTGTGCTGTAAAACAAAAACTTTATCATGAAGAAATTCGTCTGAATTTTGCCTAATCTTGTTATTCTGAAAACATAATAATGAGCGTCATTAACAGCTTTTAAACCTCTTTATTACATACTTACTAATAAATACGGGTTTTTTGTATATGCGATACGACACAATTGCTCTAACCCCCATATCAGCCCTCGCCGTATCACACCCCAAAACCCGTATCAGCCCACAAAACCCATATCACACCCCTTTTGGAAAAAAAAACGTTTTTCAATATTTCAAAAATAAAAATAAATCACAAGATAGTAGTTTTTATTAGTAAGTATGTAAAAAACATAATAAAACACGCCTTTTTCCATATCACACCCAATATCAACCCTCGACCAATATCAGCCCTGGGGCTGATATTGCAGTCTCGGGGTGATACTGGGTGTGATATGGAAAAAGGCATGTATTATTCTCTATTTAATAACCGAGGAATCAAACATCAAATTGGATGTAAACAGGTGATATTTTTGTATTTTCACGGAGAGAGATAAATAATATGTAAATGCGTACGCGTGATTACTGTAAAACATTGTCTAGAGTTCTGACAGCAGCTTTAATATCTAAGGACCCAAGTCAGTATCCGACATATTCAAACATCCACCAATGTCAATTGCCTGAAATATTCAGAGGTTATCATATGACCGTTTCCATATCCTACTCCCTTTCAGCCCGAGACTCCAATATCGGACCCGTACCTGATGGGGAATAGGATATGGAATGGTCTTATGATAACCTTTTCATCGAATATTCTATTAAAATAAAATGTATTAGCAATAATACCTAAAATACACAGCAATGATTATATACTTTTGATCTAGCATATTCTACTTTAAAATGTAATACAATGCACAGCATAATAAAAACAGACGAATATACACTGTGTACCCTACAAGTTTGGGGGCTATATTCATAAAATGTGTTGAACCAGAAGTTAAACTGATATGTCGTGTGCAGGGTGGATATGGGTTGGTCCGGGATATTGTATTCTACTTGAAAAATGAAACACAATGAACAACATAACAAATACAGCGTGTACACTACAGGCTTGTTTCACTTACTGCCTGATCATCGGGATGCTATATTTATGAAATTATTGAACCAGAAGATAAACTGATATGTCGTGTTTCGTGCAGATAGAGGTCGGTCCAGCATATGGTCTGTGCACTGTGTTAGCAGTATCACACACACAGAACAACCCCTATCACTGACAAGTATACGTAAAGAGGAAACTTCTTTTAGGGCGATCTAAAGGATAACACAGACATCGGTGAAATAGCAGTGAACACTGACCATGGGAGATGCACTTAATGGGGTGGAACAAGCTGTGCTGGTCGGACTGATCATCTTTGGGTCGTGTCCGCTGCACAACGGCATTCTTGGCTCCTCTTTCAGGACAATCACGTGCGGGTCATTATTTCCTTGCTCCTGCTTAGCTGGTCCTATCAAAAATATTCAATTTATTCAACTTTTAGTACCATGAGTATTCAACACATTAACTTTCACTACTGTGAATATTTGACATGTCTAGCATATTGAACCATAGGTCAGCCATCAAATTACATAACAGTACACTGTACCATTGTTTTCAAGAGTAGACAAACAGAAATCTCAGAAATAGTTATTATATATACTGTAGATTGTCATTAGGGCAATGAAAGACACTGCAATAACAGATATATAACATCACAGTTTAAAAGTAGTATGGAAATATATCCGAACCAACATATGGCATTGCAAACACTTGACAAACTGGTTTTGAACAAGCAGAGACCAAAACATATTGGAGGTTTGAAAATATTACCTGCTAGTTTAAACTATTGAAGCTTATATTAAGTATTGTAATTGTTTTGTAATTGAAATTATAACAGAATTTTAGTCTGATTTCTTAAATAGAACCCAATGTCAATATCAAGTTTAATTTTTCAGTACAAACTAAATATAGGATACTGAAATTTCTTAAGTACATCATTGACTAAATTAAAGTACAGACTTTCTATAGCTATCAATATATATTAGAATTTGACTTGAACGATCTGATAAAATTCTAATCAATGATGTTCATAGCAGTATGTTTTCTTTACTCACCATTGAAGAAAGTTGTATCCAAGGGAACGCAAGCATCGCCAGCTATTGGAGCCAGATGTTGTAGGTCCATTTGCTTGCTGCAAGCTGAAAAGGAAAAAATCCAGAAAATGAATTATCTCCCTTCGCTTAACAAGAAAACCTCTTAAATTGCTATGGCTCATATAAACACTAGTGTGAAACATGAAGAAATAGTAATTAGGCCTCATGGTTTGATAAAAGTGGTCATTGGAACATTTCAACAAATCTGACCTCAATAACCTTTAAAATTGGTTAAGGTCATTTATTTGAACAATGTTATAGCAATTCACCCTGGCAGGTTCCCAAACAAATACCATGATGATAGGCCTCAGGATTCATTAAAAGGCCTCATTCTAGATATTTCAACATACTTGACATGTGACCTTTACTTTAGGTCAAGGTCATTTACTAGAACAAACTTGATAGCCCTTTATCCAAGCAAGATACTTGGTACATATCGTTACACTAGGCTTTTATAGTCATGAGAAGAAGCCATTTGGAGATTCCAATACATTTGACCACTGTGACCTTGAATGTGGTCTAAGGTCATTGATTTAAACTAGTTTGATGACCTTCACTCCAGCAATATACTTTTTAAATAGCATGACTCCTGTGGTTCTTGACAAGAAAATGTAGGTACGATTTTAACATACCGGTATTTTATCTTGATTGTGAGTCAACGTCATTTAATTTTCATGAACAAACTTAATACTCCTTCACCAAAGAAAGTAACTTGCAAAATAAAATGACATTTAAGCCATACGGTTTCGAGATGAAGCTGTGCAAATAAAAACATTGAAGAGAGAGGTCACAGGCACCTTGTTAAGAAATTAGTTTCACAGTTCAGATTAATTTCACAGTNCCCCCCCCCCCCCCCCCCCCGGTAAGTGTTATTATATTCCTTTTAAAATATCTTGACCTTTTTAACAGGTCAAAGGAAAATGAAAACTGTGAAATTAATTTCACAGTTCAGATTAATTTCACAGTACAGAGCACCACCTGCCTCCTTTGCATTGGTGTGATAACTAGCCACTGATGTTTTTCATACATTGTCATTACTCACTTCATATCAATAGTAGACTTAATTAGTGACATTTACAGTAGATCCCACACAGTTTGGTTCCTCTTCAGTTGAGCATGAGGAAATTTACAGGTGATCAACTTGAGTAATATCATCTCATAGACTGACTAAAATAGGAAGTTATGTCTTATTTAATTTTTAGGTGCTCAACTTGAGTTTTGTTCTCATAACCTGACCAAGATAGCAAGTTATGGCTTATTTAATTCATAGGTGCTCAACTGGAGTTTTGTTCTCATAACCTGACCAAGATAGCAAGTAATGTCTATTTAATTTCAAGGTGCTCAACTGGAGTTTTGTTCTCATAACCTGACCAAGATAGCAAGTAATGTCTATTTAATTTCAAGGTGCTCAACTGGAGTTTTGTTCTCATAACCTGACCAAGATAGCAAGTAATGTCTATTTAATTTCTAGGTGCTCAACTGGAGTTTTGTTCTCATAACCTGACCAAGATAGCAAGTAATGTCTATTTAATTTCAAGGTGCTCAACTGGAGTTTTGTTCTCATAACCTGACGTGAAGATAGCAAGTTATGTCTATTTAATTTCAAGGTGCTCAACTGGAGTTTTATTCTCATAACCTGACCAAAATAGCAAGTAATGTCTATTTAATTTCAAGGTACTCAACTGGAGTTTTGTTCTCATAACCTGACCAAAATAGCAAGTTATGACATATTTAATTTCAAGGTGATCAACTGGAGTTTTGTACTCATAACCTGACCAAAATAGCAAGTAATGTCTATTTAATCTTTAGGTGCTCAACTGGAGTTTTGTTCTCATACCCTGACCAAGATAGCAAGTTATGGCTTACAAAGAAAGAGAAAGTAAGAGAGGAAAGCAACCACAAAGTTCTCAAGTACAGAAATGGGAGCGGTGTATCAAGTCTGATTTCTCTGTTGTCACCTGATAAGAACATCACATTATGAACAACCAGTTAAAACCTTAAAACTGTTTTTAGTTTACAAAATGATAATATGTCTCCCCTTGTGAGTCAATTTGTATAATAGCTTTGGTTTTCTTTCATCTTTTACCTTAAGGTGAAGGTCACTGTGACCTAAATACAAAGCACTGCATGCTCTCTGAGAAATACAGGTATAATTCAGGTTTCATCAACATGTCTTTCAGAATTAAAATATTACAACAATTATACTGAAAATTTCACACTTATTTGATCTTTGACCTAGAGGTCATTGCCAGCACGACCTAAATACACTAGGCACTGTGCACTTTCTGTGGGTGATGAAAGTTTCATCAAAACATCATCAATGGTTTGAATTTGATATCCTGGATTAGATTTCACAGAAAATTTGCACTTATTTGACCTTTGACCTAGAAAAATGTAAGCTTTAGGTTACCTCAAGTATCCTCCCTTCCCACTCACCAATATGTATATATGCCATTCCTGTTAACAATCACTACACAAATAAGTGTTAGATATAGTTTGCATACATAGTTAATAATATAACAAACTGGAATTTTGATGAAGAAGGTACCATCAAACCTATTGAAGAATGGAAAAACCAAATAAAGTGTGATGGTCTTCAAGTACACCAAGATCTGAGGGTTACAAGTACACCAAGATCTTAGGGTTACAAGTACACCAAGACCTGAGGGTTACAAGTACACCAAGATCTGAGGGTTACAAGTACACCAAGATCTGAGGGTTACAAGTACACCAAGAACAGGGTTACAAGTACACCAAGAACAGGGTAACAAGTACACCAAGATCTGAGGGTTACAAGTACACCAAGATCTGAGGGTTACAAGTACACCAAGATCAGGGTTACAAGTACACCAAGATCTGAGGGTTACATCTACACCAAGATCAGCTGGGTTACAATGCAAGTTCACCAAGATCTGAGGGTTACATCTACACCAAGATCAGGGTTACAAGTACACCAAGATCTAAGGGTTTAAAATTACACCAAGAGCAGGGCTACAAGTACACTAAGATCTGAGGGTTACAAGTACACCAAGATCTGAAGATTACATCTACACCAAGATCTGAGGGTTACAAGTACACCAAGATCTGAGGGTTACATCTACACCAAGATCAGGATTACTTAAGACCTAAAACTCACATTTCGGAACATCTTCGCAGAAGTAGAAGTCTGCCTTCTCATCTTCAGGGGTCTTACTGACGAATACGTCCTTTGTGCTTGGTCCAAAGCTCCACTGGATAACCTCCTTCACATCCTTCTTCCTCTCTGTCTTGACTTCAGCCTTCTGGACATCCGACAGAACCACGTTATCCTGTTCTACTCCACTGCAATTAAAACAAAACATCAAGAAAATACTTACATTGAAACTTTTATGAAGCAGCAGAAACAGTTTAAAGAGACGTTACACCAGCTTCCTTTGAACCTATCTAGAGAGACCACCCCTTCCGTACCCTTCTGAATATGGCTAATTCCTACGACAAAACAAAAACCTGAATTTACCACAAATATAGACTTCCCAGACCAGAATCTATATAGACATCCCAGACCAGAATCTATATATACTTCCCAGACCAGAATCTATATATGTATATACTTCTAAGACCAGAATCTAAATATACTTCCCAGACCAGAATCTATATATAATACTTCCCAGACCAGAATCTATATATACTTCCCAGACCAGAATCTATATATACTTCCCAGACCAGAATCTATATATACTTCCCAGACCAGAATCTATAGTCTCCCAGACCAGAATCTATATATACTTCCCAGACCAGAATCTATATATACTTCCCAGACCAGAATCTATATATATACTTCCCAGACCAGAATCTAAACATACTTCCCAGACCAGAATCTATATAATACTTCCCAGACCAGAATCTAAATATACATCCCAGACCAGAATATATATATACTTCCCAGACCAGAATCTATATATACTTCCCAGACCAGAATCTATATATACTTCCCAGACCAGAATCTATA